TCAGGAACAGCTCAATGCTGGACATATCAAGGAATCTACCGGCCCTTGGAACTCCCTTGGAGTTGTTATCAAAAAGAAATCGGGTAAATGGAGAATGCAGGGAGAGGTAGGAGGAGGAGATTCATGATGGAGGACGGAGAGAGAAGAATTCTGGGGCCTCTCTCTGGAAAGATGAGACCATGTGGAAATACTTAGATTAATAGAAACGGGTTAATATTTAAGATCAAGCTAGCTAATAAGAAATGCTAGTAGCAGGCCAACAGAATTGTATCTAAAAAATGCTTTGACTTCAAAAGTTTCCCTTAGTTAGGATTAAAGATAAGCTACATATAAGACTTTAGACTCACAAAGATAGGATAGATAGAATATTTTCTTTAAATCTTGCTAAATGTTATTGGACTAAATATTGTTAACTGTGGTTCTTTTTTGATAACTATTTTGTTATATATTTTACTATGTTAAAGTTAAAACCCTTCTTTTTATTTTAGACAGAGGAGATGATGGGAGATGTCATTCTGTAAATATGTTTCTCTTATTGGTTAATGAATAAAGCACTGTTGGCCAATAGGAAAGCAAGATAGGCGGGGCTAGGAGACAAGGAGGATTCTAGGAAGTAGTGGGGAGGGGAGTCAACATGTAAAGACCCTCTCTTCGGTAAGATAAGACCACGTGGAAATACTAAAATTAATAGAAATGGGTTAATATTTAAGACGGAGCTAGCCAATAAAAATATTAGAAACAGGCTGACAGCTTTATATCTAATACAGCGTCTCTGTGTGTTATTTGGGGCTGGTGCAGCTTTGGGGAAAACCTACTCATAACAAAGGGTCATTGAAATTGTCAATTTGACACAATCTAGAATCACTTCAGAAGAGTCTGCAAGAGGGATTGCAGTGGTCTGGTCGGCTTGTGGCATGCCTGTAGGGGGTTCTCTTGATTATGTTAACTGATGTGGAAAGACCCAGGCTGAAAGTAGGAGACACCAGGTCCTGGGTTTGAGTCCTAGACTGCATAAGGGCAGACAGGAGAGCTGAGATGTTGGCTCAGATCATCATTTCTCTCTCTGACCATGTATGAGACCGGCTGCTTCAAGTTCCCATTGCCTTGACTTCCCCGAAATGATGTGCTGTGACCTGGAATGATAAGCCAAACCCCTCCACCCTGGAAGGGCCTCTATCGGGTGACTCCTCTCAGAACAGAAATGAGCCCAAAGCACATCCTAAATAACCAAAGGCAGACAAAGAACCCACCCTTCTTATTTTACATTGGCTTATTTGGGGTATGTGGGGTGGGATAGGGAAGGTTGGTGCACATGCGCCACAGAGAAAGTGTGGAAATCAGAGCCCAACTTGTGGGGATAAGTTCTCTCCTTCCACTTGTGGGTTCTGGGACTTGAACTTAGGTTGTCTTGCCCACCGAGCCTAGCTCACACCTTTTGATTTCAAAATATTGTGCCCACCCACCTCCTGCCACTGTGTACACCAGGTGGTGCACGCTGTGGGTCTCAAACCCTGGGACAAATGGCTGAGATGTCTATAAATGATGATTAAAAACAGGATTATAGTTCTACTGGCTGGCCTTGTGGCACCTTGACACACAAACTGTAGAGTTATCTTAAAGGAAGGAACTCAATTGAGAAAATGTCTCCATAAGACCCAGCTGTAAGGCATTTTCTTAACTAGTGTTGATGGGAGAGGTCCCAGTCCATTGTGGATGGTACCATCCCTGGGCTGGTGGTCCTGAGTTCTGTAAGAAAGCAGGCTGAGCAAGCTATGGGGGAAAAGCCAGTAAGCAACACCTGTCCGTGGGCTCTGCATCAGCTCCTGCCTCCAGGCTCCTGCCCCACTTGACTTCCTGTCCAGACTTCCTCTGGTGAACAGCAATATGGAGGTATAAGTAGAATAAACCCTTTCCTCCCGAACTTGCTTTTTGATCGTGGTATTCTGTTGCAGCAATAGAAATCCCACGTAAGACAGAAGTCTACTCAGATTAACAAATGATAATTTAAGATTATATCTAACTATTTATGTCTTTGCTGATCAGCAAATTTAGATAAATAACATATATTTGATAAATAAGGTATATTTGATAAATAAGATTTATAGTTCCTGAGGTCTGCTCAGGTTCACAGCAATATCTGTCTGGCTTTGTTGTCTTGGATCAAAACACTGTGATAATTCTGTAATGGTAAAACTTTATCATCAATTAAATCTTCAACTCAAACTTTTAAAGTTCAAACTTAACAGAGATAAAGCTATAAAATCATAATCTTATAAAAGCTACTAACTTGTAAACTATTATGTAATTCATGTAATGACAAGCTTGATTTAGTGTCCTGTATGTGTTTTCAAGATTAAGCCTAAAATCAAATATAGTTAATAGATAATGGCCTACAAACCTTTTCATAGATCAGTTGATTATGGCATTTAAGATGTTTAATGGAAGGAAGAGGGGAGAGAGAGGAGAGAGGGGAACCAGGTGCAGTAGCCAGAAGGTGCCAAGGTACTAACGTGGTGGGTAACCAAAATGGTTGCATTACACAGGGAAGAGCAGCCCACCCCACCCCCACCAGGCCAGAGAGTTCAGGGTAGAGGGAGGGGTATCCAAACCAGTAGGACTCCTTAACAACTAAGGGCTGGGAGATGCTGGGAGAACCTGGTAGCCAGGTTAGCTTTGATATGTTAAATAGGCACCTCAGCCATTTCTCCCAGGGTTTGAGATTTAACGTACACCTGTCATTCTAGCACTTGGGCAAGTTGGCTAGCTAGAGTTCTGGGTTCAGCAAGAGATCTTGTCAATGAAGTAGTGAGCCATTGAGGAAGACACTGATGTCAACCTAAGGCCCCAATATGCATGCACACACACATACTACACATACATACACCACACACACACACACACACACACATCACACACATACTACACATACATGCACATGCATAAGAAAAAGAAAAACTAAACCAGATAAATAACAAGTGTAATATTGGCCTCAGGACAAACACAGAGATCAATGGAATGGAGCAGAGACTCCAGAAATAAGACACATCTGTCACAGTCTGATCGTTAACAACAGTGCCAAAACCCATCCAATGAGGGAAGCAAAGCTTTCCAACAAAGAGTGCTTGGACACACTGGTTATCCATATGCAACATAAGCCCTTGGACCCTAACCCTAACCTTTACCTCACACCACCTGCAAAAATGAACTAAAAATATGTCAAATCTTATGAGTATGAGCTAAAGCCATAAAATTCTCAGAAGAAAACAGGAAGTAAGCAAATATTCATGACCTTAGATTTGGCAAGATCAAAATTCATGAAAATTAAAGTTTTATGTGTCAAAGAACATTCACAACTAAGTGTAAAGAGGTCTGGGGTGTAGCTCAGTTGACTACAGTGCTTGTCTAGCATGCAAGAGACCCTGGGTTCAATCCCCAGCACTGCAAAGTTGGGCCTGCAACCTCAACACTTGGGAAGTGGAGGTGGGAAGATTAGGAGTTTAGGGTCATCTTCAAATACAAATCAAGTTCAAGGACTGCCTAAAAAAACAAACGAACAAATGAATTCAGTGCTTTGAAATGTATACAATAACAAATTCTTCTCATTAGCACCTCTCAACCTAGGTTGTACACTGGACTCAGCTGGAGAACCTGCTTAAAATGCAGATTTCCGATTGCAGCCAAGACTGGATTGGATTCCTGGGACCCACATGGTGGAAGAAGAGAACTAACTCCTAAAAGTTGTCCTCTGACCTTTGCATGTGGACTGTAATATTCGAGCACATACACATGCAAACCAATAAACATAACTGAAAAAAAATAAATTCAAGATTGTGATTCAGGGGCTCTGGGGTGAAGCCTAAGAGTCCTACATCTCAACAAACTTCAGTATAGTATGATGCATGCTAAGGGGCCTCAGTGCGGAGTCCATGCTCTAGGAAGAGTTGGACAGGAAAAGCAATTCACTGAAGCCAAAGAGCCCTTGGAGAAAAGGCTATGCTTTCTAGAACCATTTCTCCTCTTGGGAGCTTAGACTATGTAGTACATTGTTATATCAAGAACGGACTCTTGAACTACAGAGGTGGCTCACTAGTTAAGAGCCCTGGCTATTTTTCCAGAGGATCTGGCTTTGATCCCCAGCACCCACACTGTGACTACAACCGCCTATAACTCAAGTCTCAAGGGATCCAATACCCTCTTCTGGCTACCGCAGGTACCAGGCATGCATTCGTTACACAGACAAATGTGCAGGCTAAGCATCTATACACATAAAAACAAGAAATTACTCAGCTCACCATCACAGTATGTTCTCAGAATGCAGGAGCCTTGGCTTTTAAAAGAGATTCACTAAACAGGTGGGGATTGGGTGAAAGGGTGGGGTAGGGTCAGGGCCTCACCTGGCTGGTCTCCGCAGGGTGGGGTCCATGAAGCCAAGCACAGCTCAGGGATCCCAGCTCTCCCCCAGACTGTGCTGAATTCTCACCATGTGTCTCTTTTTGGGTCAGTTCGGGTCTATTCTGTACTAGCTCATTGCTATTGGCTGGATATGGCTTAGTGATGCTGGACTGACTTGTGTCCCAGCCTTTCCCTGCCTCACGTTGTCCCTGTTGTCCCCCTGAAGGGGTCAGAGGTTATGTGTCAGTGTCCCCAAGAGCTTTAGCAATCAGGTCTGCCTGGTGTCAGGGAAGAGGTGTTGGCTGTCTTTCTTCCTGTCCCTGGAGTGGCACTGTATGTCCTCTGCCTCCCTGTCCGACTGTGTTCACCCACCTCTTTCTTCTCTTGACCTCTGCCCTATTTGGTCTGTGATTGACACAGGGGAGGAGAGTGGGCTGGCAGGCACCCTATGCAGAGCCTGGAGACAGTAGCCAGGCCCACCAGGCCCACCCCAGGGCCTCCTGCCTACTGCCCTCTGCCAAGTCTGGTCCTCTTCTACCTGCCTGGCAGAGGTCAGGTCCTCTGTGATGCTCCTGTTGCCATGGTGATCCTAGATGAGAAGGCTATAATGTTCTGGGTCTGGAACCTTCACCCGTCAGCCCAGCTGTGCTCTACCTGCTCCCTGACATGGCTCTCTATCAGGGGGCTAGAGAACATGGGCTCTGCTACCATCAAAGTATTCTCTGCACAGCCCCTATTACTCAGATCTCCCTTCAACCCCAACAGAGACCCTAACAGGTAAGCCTCAGGTAGTGGGTAGCCCCCCTCCAAGGCAGAGGTCATGGTTGGGGGTTAAAAGGGCCCAGGATCCAAAGGCAAAAGACTTATGGTCCCAGGTTCTAGTCTTAGATCGTTGGTAGTGATGTGATCTTGGTCAAAAGGTCTGCCTTGAGCTCCAGTGTCCCCTGAGTGTCTTATACTCAACTGTCCCCCAGTAATGCTTCCCCCCAGTGACTGCCATGGGCTGTTCTTATGCACTGACACCTCAGCTCTGTAAACTCCTATTCCCGTCCAAGCCCCAACTCTAGTGCTCCCACTCGGAGTTTCTCTGGTCTCTTTGGCTTTGTAGCTCTCATTCTCTACTGGAAGTTTTAAAATATTTCTCTAAGCTGAGCATTGGTGGCACAGGCCTTTAATCCCAGCACTCGGGAGACAGAGGCAGGAGGATCTCTGTGAGTTCAAGGCCAGCCTGATCTACAAGCGCTACTTCCAGGACAGTCTCCAAAGCAATACAGAGAAACCCTGTCTCGAAAAACAAAACAAACAAACAAGCAAACTCTCTAGTTGTCACTCAACTCTGACTTCTTAGAGGCAGAGGTTAGAATGGGTTCTATGCTGGCGTCAGAGATGTTTTGCTGAATAACTTTCTTGTGGAATGGTCTTGGCTGAGTTGGGCACTCTCCTTGCAGGGGTCATTCTGGGCTCCCACATCCAGGTATGTCTTTGCCTTTACTGTTACCTGAGGCCTGCTTGGTTGCCGGAGACATTCTCGTGTCTGAGATCTGTGGGATACCATGTTTTATGTTGGAGTATAGAGTGGAGCGAATCCAGGAGCAGCTTGTTCACAGAGCGTCTCTGGAGACATCCTGGCACATCTGGGATGGGCAGGGAGCAGCACCAGGAGTGATCTGTAGGGATTTCTGGCCTAATAATGAGGAGCCTGGGCTTCATAGAAAAGGGAAGAAGGGATCCAACACCTCCCAGCTCTTTTAAAGGATTCAGTATCTACTGGCAATGGTCAGGGAGACAACAGAGTCTTCCAAAGCCAGCTCAGATCTTCATTGACACCTGGATAGCTGGACCAGGCTTTCCCCACAAGAACCAAGTCAATGGTGCCCTCTAGTGGAGAACATAAGGCATGCAGGAATCCATCAAAGAAAGGGTTTGCTGCCTTTTTTTTTTTTTTAAATCTAAAACAAAATGTGAGCATCACTGTTGATGTTGAACATGTTCAACTTTAAGTACATAGTATTGTGCTGTAGATGTATCTCAGTAAGAGGAGTACTTGCGCTGGATCCCCAGCACTGCACAAACTAGGTATGGTGGTTCACACAAGTAATCTTAGCTCTCAGGAAGTAGAGGCAGGACCGTTAGAAGTAAAATGCCCTCCTGGGATACATAGCAAATTCAGTTATCCTGGGCTGCATGAGAACATGCCTCAAATAAAACATGAAGACGGTAGGGGCAGTATGTATACGTGTGTGCACATACATGCATGTGGGGGCCATGGCTCTCCGCCTTGTTTGTTTGTTTATTTGTTTGTTTTTTATATAAGGTCTTACCGTGTATCTCTGGCTGTCCTGACACTCACTCTATAGACCATGCTGGCCTTGAACTCACCGAGATCACAATCTGCCTCTGCTTCCCAAGTGCTGCAATCAGAGACATAAGCCACCCCACCTGACCACCACCTTATTTTTTGAGACAGAGTCTCTTCACTGAACCTGGAGTGCATGTCGACTAGAATGGCTGGCCAGTGAGTTCCAGGTATCCTACTATCTATACCACTCAGCACCAAGGTTATAGAGGCATGTCATACCCTGCTTTTTACATGAGGGGGTACTGGAAATACCTCATGCATACATGACAAGCATCTTATTGTGTGTGTGTGTGTGTTTAAAATCACCTAGTATGTGGTAAACTCTCTTCTGAGCGTCACTATGTGTTGGGATAAAGTGGGAAAGCAAGAATCCACAGCAATTCTCAGCCTGGGCTATACATCGCAACTGCAAACCAGTGTCTGGGCCAGGCAAGTCTTCACCTGTCGGGCGGGGCACAGACACCATGCTCTGCAGATCCACCCCAGGCCTGACTTGTCTGTTATCCCTCACTCTCCGGGCACCACTTATTTTCACCCTCTTTCCGGGTGAAAGCTCGGGTTCCCATAGGTCCTGTCCCTTCTTTGATCAACTGAGGACAGGGGCATGGTGGGGAGGGAGGAGTGGCTGCTTTTCCTCCAAGGTTGTCCTGGGTCTCAGCAGACTCTCAGGATAACACCAGCTTTATTGTCCGCTGTGATTAGAAAAGTAGTCAGTCGAGGTCATGGTGAAATAGCTGTTTCCCACCACTTTCTGGACAGAGACTTATAGAGGCCAGAATCACCTGCAAGCTCAGCCTCCTTAGGGAGTGGAGTGGTGGGAGAAGGACAGAAGCAGCGAGTAGGAGGGTGGCTTCTTTTGAAGGCTCAGGGTCAAACTATAAACTGGGGCTTCCAGAAGTGTGGTTCCCAAGACCACCCAAGTCATAGACTCTTGCAGTACTTGATAAAAATGCAACATCTCCAAGGACGCAGCATCAGCCTCCTGAGAAAGAGCAGAGACGCTGCGTATTTGGTAAATGTCTTGGCAACTGTTGCAGTCAGTGAAGACCGAGAACCCGGGCTCCTTGCAGTCAGTCTGTGCTCTTCATGTGAGATGAGTTTGTTGGTAAACTCCCATCTTAGCCTGATGCTCAGAAGAACCTGGTGTGCTAAGTTCTGCCCAGCTGCTGAGATGCTACCCAGCTGCCCCGGGGGCGGGGGGGCATGGGCGTGTGCCTTTGTTTCTGTCAGGCGGTTTGGATTAGGTTTGGATTAGATAGTTTGAACAGCAAGCAGGTTGTTAGTTTTCTCCCCCCAAGTCCGGTCACCACACCAGGCCTTCCGGTCCCCCTTTCTCTTTCTCTACCTGCCGACCAATCACAGCCACCACGACCTGTGATGTCACCAGCAGCCAATCAGAGCTTCTCACCAGTCTATGTAGATTGCTGTCACTTACTGAGCTGATGAAATTCCAAAGCAACACATCCTTTTGAGATGGGAATGCTGAGGGCCAGTCAGGGCTAGCAAGTAGGTTATTAGAAGCCAGTGGGAGGTAGTTCTTTCTGGAAGGGCCCCCAGAGGCCTGGACAAGACTCCTCCTGAGCTCCTGGTACCTTAGATGAAGCTCAATCCTGCCCCCAACTTTCTCTGAAAGACCTCAGGAGTCAGGACACAGTGATGGTGGCACAGATTTCTCAATTCTAAAGTTTACAGCCATGGAAGAGGGGGTGTGAGCCCCAATTCCAGCCCTGTTCTTAGCTCAAGAGTCCCAGGAAGGAATTAGAGGGACACTGCCCAGGCGGTGCTGGCTGCTGCTCCAAGCAGATTACAGGAGGGACGGAGACAAGGGCTCCTTTGTGGGAGCTTTAGCTTAGAAAGTCAGGTGACAACTCAGCATGTACGTAGGTGGGCAGTGCCAGCCTCCAAGTATGGGCAGGGGTACCTGCTTCAGGGTCTCAGAGAATCCTGTCGACCCAGTGGCCAGATCTTTTATGGGGTTGCCTGAACTGCCGGACCCCCACCTGTGAGTAAGGGTTGCCCCCAGATGGACAGCACTGGGGCTATGCGGGCCTGAAGGGGTGGATGACGGCTTTTGTGTGTGTGGTATGATGGGCACATGTTGACAGCACATGTGAGGGAGGTGGAAAGGGGGTGTCAATCATGGCTTTAGTCAGTTTGCATTGAGCATCTGCTCCAAGAACACACTGAGAGCTTCCAGTGGGAGAAGGGAACAAACAGTAAGCAGGAGTGCCCTGTGTCGCATGACTTCCCATAGAGCCATACACCCGGTAGAAGGATCAAACAAACTGGAAAACACTGCTGCTGACAACTGAGGCATTATTTCCAGTAGGATGGCTGGGGACATTTTATCTAGATGAGCTATGGGGTTACCTCAGGAAAAGCATCCATCCCCCGAGCTGGCTACAACAGCAGGTGGAAAGGTCCTGGGGTCACCATCCAGTACCCATCAGTAGGATATTCCCTCCTGCTATGCTATGTGCTGGGGATGGGGATGGCCCTGAACAGGGCAAGCCTGGGTTCTGAGCTACTTACTCCAGTGTAGTTGAGGAAGGGGGGGAACTGGACTGAGAACTCATGATGTCTTGCTCTGAGACTGTGAACTCTGTGTGAATGCTGTTGCTGCCCTTACAGCCACCTTTGTCATTATACAAAATCAAGGGCACATAGCAATTCACAGACCTGCCCAGTGTCTAATTGTGTTCCTACTTCAACCTTCTGTGTCCCAGGCTAGAAAACAGAGGCCCTGGATAAGGCAGGACTAAACTCATATGAGTCCCAGGCCAGAACTTAGTCTTTGCTTCCTACCCATCTCCATGTCACCCTCTGCCTGCTGACCAGGACCCAAGCCCACCTACTGCTGCCAGTGACAAGCCATGACTATCACCTACACAAACAAAGTAGCCAATGCCCGTCTCGGTTCCTTCTCCTGCCTGCTCCTGTGTTGGCGAGGCAGCATCTACAAGCTGCTGTATGGGGAATTCCTCATCTTCATGTTCCTCTACTATGCCATCCGTGCAGTCTATAGGTAAGAGATTCTGGGGTAAAGGGGCAGAGCACCTGGGGGCGGGGTCTCCAAGCCTACTGGCAGAGTGGAAATGGGAGTTGGGGAGTAGTGAGGAGATGGGGAGGAGAGAGGGTCCAATGTTGCAGCCAATCCTTGGCCACTGGGGTGGAAGCTGGGGATTAAGAAGGGGAAAAAAAAAAACATAGCGCTAGGCATGTAGCTCAGAGGCTCAGAGAAATATTTGGCTGGTATATGTGTATATGTGTTATCTTGGACTTGATCCCCAACACACACACACACACACACACACACACACACACACACACACCACACCACACCACACCACACCACACAAATCAGATCAGAGGTGACTCAGGAGCATAGTCCAACTGAGACACTCAGGCTCTCATGATACAGTTTAATATGTTTATTTCAATACAATGTTTTTATGAACAATAGCATGTCAGACAGGTACATTCATAGAATATCTGATCACATTTTAAGTGAAAAAGCATGGGCCGACGAGATGGCTCAGTAAGTAGAAGTACCTGGAAGGCAAGAAGGCCTGATGGTTCAAGTTCAATCCCCAGGACCCACAAATTACAGGAGAGCACCAACTCCCATAAGTTCTCCTCTAACCCCCACACATGTGCATGGCATGTGCACACATACATTTGACCTCTCTCACAAACACAAGAAATAAACACATAAATAAGAAAATTTAAAAAGAAATCATGTCTGCTATGTATTGAAAAATATTGACTGCCTGCAATTCTGGAGTTTGTCCTAATAACAGCACATCGGTATTTAGTATTTTAAAAATTAATTGCCTGTATTTTTTAGATTTTTTAAATTTTATTTTACATGTATGAGTATTTTGCATTCATTTATGTCTGTGTACCATGGGGGGGGGGTGCCTGTGGGGGTCAGAAGAGGACATTGGATCCTCTAGAGCTGGAGTTATAGATGGTTGTGAGCTGCCATGTGGGTGCTGGGAACTGAACTCATGTTCTCTACTGGAGCAACAACTGTAAGTTTGAGGCCAGCCTTGTCTACATAGGGAGTTCTAGGACAGCCAGAGCTATATAGCAAGACATTAGTTATCTCAAAGAATTAATTAACTAGGGCTGGAGAAATGGTTCCCTGGGCCAGACCAGTGGAAAGGACAATACCAGATAGACCCGCTCTTCCCCCCAACCCCCGGCCGGGTGCAGGGACGTATTCTTAGAAACTTCCTCTCAATGCCTCACCCACTTCCAGAATGGTTCTCTCGGATGAACAGCAGCTGTTGTTTGAGAAGCTGGCTTTGTACTGCGACAACTACATTCAGCTCATCCCTATATCCTTTGTTCTGGGTGAGCGCCCCCTTGCGGTTGTTTGGGGTCCAGTGGTCGCCCCCTAGCTCCAGACACACAATGGGCAGACCTCCATCAGAGGTGGGGAGTGGGAGAAGGTGGGCCAGTGGCCCTCTAAAAAAAAGTTGAGGCGGGGCCCACATGTATCAGGAAGACGCAGAAGCCGAGGCTTCACCCGGCGCTGGTCTCTGGCCACAGCCCGGCTCCTCGCCCCTCGTCCCTCATCCCTCCTGCCCAGGTTTCTATGTGACGGTGGTGGTTACCCGCTGGTGGAATCAGTACGAGAGCTTGCCTTGGCCCGACCGCCTCATGAGCCAGGTGTCAGGCTTCGTGGAGGGCAAGGACGAGCAAGGTCGGCTGCTGAGGCGCACACTCATCCGCTATGCCATCCTGGGCCAAGTGCTCATCCTGCGCAGCATCAGCACCGCGGTCTACAAGCGTTTTCCCAGTCTTAAGCACCTGGTGCAAGCAGGTAAGCAGCTCCTGGAGTGGGCGGGGCCGCAGAGACGGAGCTGACCAGAGGCGTGGCGGGAGCTGACGCTGGGTGGAGCCAGAGCCCCCTCCCCCCCCCCCCCGGACTTGAAGAGGGTGAAATGGGGCAGGACTAATGGGGTCAGAATCAGTGCTAGAAGAGGGGCGAGGCCAGACTAAACTAAAAAGGTAGGGATTTGAGAAAGGTCAAAGCAGGGATAAGGGAAGAAGTGGGGGCTTGGGGACTGATGGGATCCGGATCTGCCTGTCCTGATCTCCAGTTTCCAGACTGGATGGCTTGACTTGGGTCCCTAGCTCTCTCTTGACTTTTCTGGAGCCTGACTCTAAAGCCCTCTACCTCTTACCTCCTGTCCCGTGTGATCCAGAGCAGCGCCTAACTGGGGCTCAGTAATTTTGTGTATTGCAACAAACATGATAAAAGCACAAAAGTCCCTAGGGGCTCAGACAGGCTGGCTGGGTTTCCTGGTGCAGGCTGCTTCTTTTGCAGGGTTACCTGTTGCCTTGTCCACTCTGCCCTGCAGGCTTTATGACCCCTGGGGAATATAAGCACTTGCAGAAGTTGGGCCTACCACACAACACATTCTGGGTGCCCTGGGTGTGGTTTGCCAACCTGTCAATGAAGGCCTATGTTGGAGGTCGAATCCGGGACACTGTCCTGCTCCAGAACCTGATAAACGTGAGCCCACAGATGGGATGCAGTGGGAAGGGTTGTGGCTTCCTTTAAAGAGAAGGCTGGAGGCTCTTCCCACAGCCTGTCCTGGTGGTGTATGCTATTTGCAAACACAATTTCATAGCCCAAGGTGGCCCCTCTCTGAGTGAGACACAGAGGGGTCTAGTGAACTGCCTATGACCACACAGCCAAGGCTATTCTATGAACACTGTTGCATTGTATCTGGGGGAGAGCTGCGGGAGGTTCTGGGGGAGCAGGTGGTGGCCAGCACCGTCTCCTTTTCCCCCACCCTCCAGGAGATGTGCACCTTGCGTACTCAGTGTGGACATCTGTATGCCTATGACTGGATCAGCATCCCACTGGTGTACACACAGGTAAGGACCAGACTGGTGAGGCTGTCCCTGAGGGAAATCGGCAGCTAGGATGATCCAGAAAGCACACTTCCCTGGAGATCTCAGCCTGAGAGTTGGGCCTGGACTTGGAAGATTCTTCCTAGTTGTGAGGTCAAAGCATCTGTGCTCCTACCTGTCCAGTGCAGCAGAGGGAGTGCAGCCGACCTGGTCTCAAAGAGGAGCAATTGGAGAGGATAGAGCTCATTGGGTAATGTTTGCCATATGCATGAATCCTGGTTTTGATCTTTGGTATTGGGTGAAACTGTCACACACCTGTATCTCTAGCACTAGGGATCTGGTGGCCAGAGGATCGGAGGTTCAAGGTCATCCTTGGCTACATAGTGAGTTTCATGCCAGCCTGGGATATATGAGACCCTGTCTCAAAAATAAAAGTAAACAACACACACACACACACACACACACACACACACGCACACACGCACAAAGAAGAAGGGCAAATAGAAACCGTGACGTGAGTGTGGAGGTTAGAGCAAGGCTTTAAACTCAAAGCCTAAGACCCAGTCCCAGGGTCTCTGCTTAGCCCTTTGCTGCCACCTGTGCCTTTTCTTCTCCCAGGTGGTGACAGTGGCAGTATACAGCTTTTTCCTCGCATGCTTGGTGGGGCGGCAGTTTTTGAATCCAGCCAAGAACTACCCAGGCCATGAGATGGACCTCGTTGTGCCTATCTTCACCATCCTGCAATTCTTATTTTACATGGGCTGGCTGAAGGTAGGCCTCGCTGAATACCACCCTCCCCCATGCTATAGGCATGGCCAGAGGGGTTATGGCCAGTAGCACCTGGGAGGAAGACAAAACAGCTAAAAAAAAAGGCCACGCACAACACACACATACACACACACACACACACACAGATAGAGATAGAGAGAGACACACAGAGAAAGACATTCTGTCTCAATATACCTTCTCCCAGCTACCTTTGTTTTTTAAAGACTCAACTAGACTATACTACTTTTATGCTTGAAATGATCTGAGACGCCTCACTAGCTATCAGGATGTCCTCTGGACCCACAAAATAGTCATACCCCTGTGGAGCTTTGCTTTAGGATTTTAGATATTAGTGTCCAGGAAACTCCCCCTCCCCCCCTTCTGGCCACTGTAATTCGGCATTAATTCTGATGCCATAAAACAACAAATGCATGCATATTGGAAGATAAGTTTCCAAAAATAAATCAATGCAACTTGAGGTTAGTTAGCTACATGGGTGGAATCAAGGTGGTGATTTGGCTGAGTGCATAGGAAGGGACAGCTGTGATCTTCAGAGGCAGGCTGGCTCATGACAGTGAGAGGGCTAGAAGAGTAGAGACCAAGTATGTGGAAACCCCGTGGAGAGGGTGCTGAGGCCCAGTATGGTGGCTTGAAGACAGTTGTTAGACAGGGAGAGCATCATGAGGGAATGGAAATGGCAGGACCCATGGCTTAGGATGGGAACCAGAATGTCAAGGTTCTCAGAACCTTCACCTCCCACCCCACCCCCACCCCCAAGGTGGCAGAGCAACTCATCAACCCCTTCGGTGAGGATGATGATGATTTTGAGACCAACTTTATCATTGACAGAAACCTGCAGGTATGGGGGGTAGGGAGAAGACTGTGTCGTGGACCCTTCTCAAACTGGATCCAAAGAGGGGACCCAGCAGTTTTTCAGGGAGACCCCCCCACAGTATATTGTCCTCCCATTTTCAACCATCAGCCCTTTCCTCAGTCAATCATTCATTCCCAGAATTCACATCTCAACTCCGGAGGCTGCAAGTAAGCATCAATTTCTTCAGTACCTCAGGTGGGGAAACTGAGGCCCAAAGAGAGCAAACTGACGTTTCCTAAGGCGTCAGGCAAGCTCATGTTCCTGTGTGGGCTGCCCATTCTATTGGATACCCCTCTCTGTCCTTGGCAACCAGGTATCCCTGTTGTCTGTGGATGAGATGCACCAGGATTTGCCTCCCCTGGAGCGTGACATGTACTGGAATGAAATAGAGCCTCAGCCGCCCTACACAGCTGCTTCGGCCCAGTCTCGTCGACCTTCCTTCTTGGGCTCCACCTTCAACATCAGGTAGGTAGTGCCAGAGAACTGGATGAGAAGATACTCAAGTGTAAGGCTTCCCTAGCAGCTTGGAACAGCTCTTACTTATATGTGATTCATGCACAGTAAGAGCTAGCTAGTGGGCAATACATTTTTTTTCCCCCTCAAGACAGGATTTCTCTCTGTAGCCATAGCTATCCTGGAACTCATTCTATAGACCAGGCTGGCCATGAACTTGCAGAGAACCACCTGCCTCTTCCTCCTAAATGCTGGGATTAAAGGCACGGGGCACCACTGCCGGCTTGGACTATGATCTTTACAGACAATTTTTTTTCCCTCCCACTAACCTTTGCTTGTTATCTGTACATTTCAGACAATTAAGCACAGGCACAAATAGGGTAATAAAGTTGCCCAGCCAAAGTTACATACATGACAAACAACACATCTGAGCTAGCTGTCTGGTTCCAGCTCCACATTCTTTTTGTTTTCAATTGGTTTTTCTTGAGATAGCCTCATACAGCCCAGGCTGGCTTCAGACTCACTGTGTTTTGGGGGATTACAGACAAGTACCACTACCCTGGCTTTTGGTGCATTGTTTTGTTTTGTTTTGAAGACATGTCTTACTATGTAGTCCAAGCTGGCTTAGAATCTCTGACTAGCCCAGGCTAGCCTTGAATTCACAATTCTCTTGACTCAGGCTCTCCAGTGCTAGGACTATAGGGAACCATTACCATTGCTTTCTGCTCTACCTTTATTATTATTAATTTTTCTTGAGACAGGATATCTCTCTTGTATAGCTCTGGCTGTCACTATAATAGACAGGCTAGCCTAGAACTCACAGAGAGCCCTCTGCCTCTGCCTCCCAAGTTCTGGAACTAAAGATGTGCTGTGTTCTACCACACCCAGCTACCTCCACACTCCTAACCCTCCACAATGCTGTGTTAGCCCCTCCACTCCAGTCTCCTCTTCCTGGTGTCTGGGCCCGGGAAGAAACAGGACTTTTCCAAGGAGAGGCTGAGTGATGATGCAGTGAGATGCTGAGACCGGCTGTATAACTCTGACCAGAAAAACTAGCCTTTGGGTGGACGTAGAAGTGTGGGCAGCCTGGGGTAGAGGAGGGACAGTAAGGGAGTCCGTGTAGGAGAGGGTCTCCCGAATAACTGTCCTACAGAGAGAAGGCCTCCTTCTGCCCACAGCGGCTATGCTTTCCTCTGTACAATCCCATTTCATCTGAACTCCTCATAGATACAGGGGGCCAAATGGGTCATCCCACACAGTCCTCTGGATGACAGCTGAGAAGGCTCTCAAGAATCTGACATGTTTGTATACTGTGCCATGCTGTTCTCCCTTTGTTCTCTTATGACCCAAAGAGTCACAGAGAACTGAAATTAAACTTAACCAGCAACATTTCGGAAGATGTTTTTGAACCTGTTTCATCTCAACACCAGCATTGAACCTGGGGTGGTGTGCCAGAGGGTAAGGGTAATGATACATAGGCCCTGCCTCCAACCCATGGCCAAAGAAAGACTGGGCAGGACACAGAACAGAGGTTGCCTTTGGCCAAGAGGTGACCTCTTTCTGGTCTTTGTGTAGGTCCTAGAGCCAGGGAGATTTTGAGTCTATGCAAGGGAGCCACCCTGGGATAAAAAGCATTTTCTTACAGGTTAAAGGTCTTGGAGCCTCAGGAAGTCTGCTGCCAGGAAGCCAAACACCTTTTGATAGATGTTGCTCCCTACTGGGAAACAAATTCAAGATTCTGCCTAGACACTGCTGGGCCTTATCTGAGCTGACTTTGCCAGGAGCAGAGGTTCCCATTGCCCAGAGAGAGATGCTTTAACAGGGTGGCTGATAAGGTGGAGCCTGTGGGGCTCAAGGAATTAATGTTGATAAAAGAAGGAAGTAACAGTGACAGACATGGCAGCATGTGCTTATAATCCCAGTGCAGCAGCAGAGACAGGGAGACCCCTAGAACTAGCCTAATTGGTGAACCTCAAGCTAATGGGAGACCCTATCCCAAAGAAGGTGGAGGACTCTCCTGAAGATGTGAATGGAGATTGTCCCCTGATCTTCACACAGGCATACACAAGTGCTCCCATTCACACATGGTTGCACACACACACACTCTGTAATACTAGGCTGGGGAGTTGGATGTTGCCAGTGAGGGAAAGAGCCTAAAGTGAACTGGACCTTGAGGGACTTCCTGGGAAATGCAGGGTCCACCAGGAGAGGTAGCAGCTGAGGCACGGAGAAGGCTGCACAGCCTCGGTCCTGGGCAGGCACTTACTCTGCCCTCTCAGTGCTCTACCGACCTGTGCACCCCGTTCCCTTCCAGCCTGGACAAAGAAGACATGGAGTTTCAACCAAATGAGGAGGATGAGGATGAGAACAGTCAAGGCGGCATCATTGGGCGCTTCTTAGGGCTGCAGTCCAACGACCACCATCCTCCTAGGACAGACTCGAAGACCAAACTATTGTGGTCCAAGAAAAACCCCTACATCGAGGGCCAGCATAAGAAATCCAGGAAGAACTCTAGGGACCAGGATGATCATGTCTGGAAACTGAAGGGTCTGGACACCTTCAGGGCCACTCCACTGTTTGAGAGACCAGGCTACCACAGTGCCCCACAGACACCCCTCAACCACACTTCCATGGCCTTCCCTCCTGAGCCTTACTTAGTCACAGGTATGGACACTAAAGACAAAACCCTAACCCCCATGACCTTTGAGACCAAGAACATTTTCTTTTAAAGGTTTGTTTTTATGTACGTTGTGTGTCGTTGTGACTATATGCCACATGTGTGCTAGTAACCCTCAGAAGTCAGATGTTTGACCCCCTGGAGTTAGAGTTCTAGGCAGCCTATGAGCTGCCAGATATGGGTGCTGGAAACCAAACTTAGGTCCTCTGGAGGAGGAAGTGCTCTTGAGTGCTGAACAGTTGGAATTGCTCCTAGGTGATGCAGGTTCCCAGGAGCACCAGGAAGCCAGTCACTTGAAGAAGAAAACTGTGGAGTTTAACTTGAACATTCCAGAGAGACCCACAGCACATCCTAGAGAACCCCATTTGGATCAGCTGCCAACCAGCATACACACTATACTGAAGGAGCATGTAGAGTCCCATCCTACCTCAGAAAACAGGTCTGTCCACTGGGACCAGCTGAATTTCCCCTGCCTGTAACCCTCTTTTCCCAAGATTCCATTATGGCTGATGGGTAGAGGAGCCTATGTCCTTACTGTAGTTGGGTGTTATTAACAGCCACCTTGGCAAGAACCATGAGGTGGGAGACCTTTGGCCCACTTGTAAGAGGCTGGCATTAGCAGGAATACTTCCAGAAAGTAACTCTGCATTAACAATGCTGAAGGGAGGGAGAGCATCTTGGGGAAGGCCAGGGGGCCAGGCTGTCTCCCCCCCCCCCCAAGAGAACTAAGACTCTAGCTAGGCTGTAGCTAAGGGACAAGCCTCACACCTCTATCATTTACATGGCAAGCACTTGCCCATAGCCCATACCCAAGCACTCCCACTTCTCAGGCCATGAGGTCTCTAGGGATACCTTGTCAGGGCTTTGGGGCCTCACTTAATGCTTCCAAAACAGCCTAAAAGCTGTCACAAGCCTACAAGTTATTTCTCTAAGTTTCTTGGACACTGTTGCTCAAATAGAAACGTTCCATGCCCACACTGCTGTCACAGGGAATCCTGCTTCCCACTTCCCCATTCTTGGGTTTCATCTGTGATGAGAACATCCACTTTTTTGTAAATGAAAACCAAAAAAGGCATCTTGCTTCTAGGGCTAGACATTAACTTTTATAGATCACCCAGGTGTTTGTTTAACAAAGCTTTAACCTTTGTCCCCATAAAATCTTAATTAAGCACCTTCCCAATTTATGCTGGGAACTTTCTCCATTTCCACAGGGATGAAGAAGGCACCTAACCTTTCCTAAGATTGATGCTTCACGGCCTGGTCCTCACCTGCACGGATGCCAGCAGGACACTGACCCAGTCAGAGGCACACCGCTGTGGACACCCTAGAGTTTGTTCCCATGACAGTCTGGCAAGTAATTCGGAACCAGGGGTGCTTAGTCCTGTCCGAACACACCTGTATCTTACTGTCTTTCCCGTACTAAGTAAGGAGTTGAATAAATACAAGTATTCTTTTAGGCATTTCAGTGACATTAATGTAACTGTGACACCTTCAATCTCAAAGACAACAACAGCTAGGTACCAAAATCTTTATTTGAAGAAATGGTACAAATTAAAGAACTTAAGCAGATGTTTTGGTGCGAGACTTATAGAAAAGGTAATGGCAGCCCAACATGCAAGCACTGCCTCATGGACCAGTGAGATCACCGTTGGCTTTGGGGAAGTCAGCTTAGCTCTCACTGTGTCCCAGGGTGTGCTTGTCAAAGAGATATTCTGCCATGCCAGATTCAGGGGCTCCCATCTTGCGCAAGTTGGTCACGTGGTCACCCAGTTCTTTGATGGACTTCACCTGCTCATTCAGGTAATGTGTCTCAATGAAGTCACACAACTAGGAAAGAGAACATGGGACAAAGTTACTGGTCAGTTCTCCCAAGCCCCAGATGATTAACCCCATTCATTCCCCCGGGGTACTCAATACTCACGTGGGGGTCATTTTTGTCAGTAGCCAGTTTGTGCAGTTCCAGTAGTGACTGATTCACACTCTTTTCCAAGTGCAGTGCACACTCCATTGCGTTCAGCCCACTCTCCCAGTCATCACGGTCTGGTTTCTGAATAGAACATTCGGGTCAGTTCATCTGCAGTCTCCACCAAACACTCCCTCAGTAAATACCTCACACCTAACCACCATGCTTTGCCTTGTTTCCTCTGACAAGTTTCCCCGTAACATGCTTGCTCACTGCTGTTTATACCAGCCTAAAAATTACAAGGGCAAAGGTCCAGTGCAGCATCATTTTCTGAGGAGGTGCTAACTGCTCACTTGTAGGGTACCCCCAGATCTGTTCACCTTGATGTCCTGCAGGAAGATTCGGCCGCCTCGCTGGTTCTGCAGCTTCATCAGTTTCTCGGCGTGTTCCCTCTCCTCATGAGACTGGTGGAGAAAGTATTTGGCAAAGTTCTTCAGAGCCACATCATCCCGGTCGAAGTAGCAAGACTGAAAGTGGAAAGGGTACACGTTACATTTCCCACAGCACAGAAGCTGGAATGTCCACTGTAGGTGGTAGGATGTTTGCTCCCCTCAGGAGGGGAGGACTTGTGGGACTTGACTTCAGGGAGTATCCTATAGTTCTGTATTAGTGCAGAGGAAAAAAATGCTAAGCCAAGGCCAAATCTTCTTGCCTGAGGGGGAGGGCGCTAGAGTACCCTGCAGTGGGAGGTCATTTTTCTTCACCTCCACCAGTCACATAAAAAAAAAAAAAAAAAAAAAAAAAAAAAAAAAAAAACACAGCTAACACACACATACAAGCTTTCCAGCTGAGCAACTGAATGATTTGAAAAATTAATGCCTCATGCCTGGTGACAACCGTACTTTTAACACAAACATATTAGGAGATCTGATTTTCAGTTTCAGGTACTCAGTGTATCTGGATGGTTCAGAGAAGAACGATGGCCAAGGTACCCAGGCTTGTTTCAAATGTACTTGGAAAGCACTTCTATTTGGATAACTTGCACAACCACAAGGCAAACACAGTGGTTCTCACTACACTGCTCCAAACCTGTTTTCCAAAAACAGATTAGTAGTGCACGGAAAACTTCCTTGCCCAGCAACTGATGGTGGGCTTTTATCTAACAACTACCTACCGCTTCTGTTAAGCCCCAACTCTCAGATGCAAAAACCGATACAACAGGGGCAAGGTCGAATAACACTGATGACTGCAGAAGGGGAGATTCCCAGAGATAATGTTTCGGTACAAGTGAGGCTCTGTGATAAGCAGAGCTGAGAGGTGGAGACGGCGGCTGAAGACGGGGTCCGGCTTAGCTCACAAGAGATAAGCCTCTGCGCCAGGCACCAACGCTGTCACTCGATACCATGACCAAGCAGACCCGCCATACTCAGAGGAATCGGAGCTGGATGCAACCGAAGCAGAAAAAGCCTGCAGGTCACGTGACCGGAAGGCAAAAAAAAAAAAAACACCCCAAAAAATTAACTGCAGGTTTGACTGGACCGGCTGACAGACCTCCAGGAACGGGGAGTCTGTGTAATGACGCGTTCGGTCTATGCAAGAGTCACCAGGGGTTAATAAGCTCAGACTTGCCATTCCAGGGCTGAGACGGAGCAAACACACTCCATTTTCCAGAAGGGCGCTGGGAGGCCTGCAGCTGGCCACGCCCCAACCCGTGCCCCGCCTGCTCCCCCCCCCCAGTGGCCCCGGGGAGGCAGCGCCCGACTCCCGCCCCGCCAAAGCCCAGGCCGCGCTCACCATAGACAGATAGACGTAGGAGGCGTACAGTTCCAGGTTGATCTGGCGGTTGATGGCAGCCTCCGAGTCCTGGTGGTAGTTCTGGCGCACTTGCGAGGGAGACGCGGTGGTCAGGGCGGTGCTGGTCATGGCGGCGGCGGGCGCGGTGGCGACGCTGGAGCGGCTGAGCGAAGAGGTTGCAAAGGGTTCTGTCCCGGAGCGGCCGGCTGGGGTCGGAGGGGTCGAGCGCCGGGTTCCGTTCAAGCACTGTTGAAGCAGGAAACCGCGGCGACTCTGGTCGAGAACGTCTGGCGAAGGTGGCCGACGGGCAGCACTTATAGCGGGAGTTCGCGTCAGGCGCGCTCTGGCCAATCAGCGCCGCGGGCCGCCGAGACCCGCCTCTTCCGGTGAGCGTGCTGCCCAGACCCGCAGGGCGCGGGCGGGGGCGATCCTGGGTGTGTGAGGCTGCGCAAGAGGCCCTGATCTTTCTGCAAGATCTGTGCCTGGCAACAAGCTAGCTGTTTCTGTGCCCCGGGGCGGGAGATAGCTGATTGTGGCCCTGTTGCAGTGCTATCTGGGTTCTTGGGACCCATGGGGACAAGGGGTGCCACTGAGAGTGGTTTTCAAATCCCTAAGCTCAGTACGTGTTGTTACATCGTGGCATGCGTCATGCTAGGGACTCCGTCTTACAAGTAGGAAAATGGAAGCATGGTGCTGGAGGTGGCGAACGAGTTATAAGTTGGACTGGGAAAGAGCGGCTTTCCTTCAGAGTAAAGGAAAAGTAGGGGATGTTGGGGAAGAGGGGGTTCGGGTCTGCCCTGTCATTCTGACTCAAGCAACCCTGGCCTTTTTCTGATAACAAACATGACTCCGTGGCCAGTTGAAAAAACAAAGGCTGAGAGGGTGTTTCTCCTCAGAGCAGGGACAGCTTTCTATAGGGGAATCCTGGGACCGCCTAGGTTTCTGAAAAAGTCCCTGGTGATGCTTAAAATTAAGAGAGGTCTCTGGATTAGAAAAGAAAGGAGAAGCGACCCACGTGTATCCATTTCAAAATGGTCTCCTTTGTCTTTCTCAGTAACCTTGGGTTTGCCCTTGGAGAAAAGCCGATGGGGCTGAATGGCAGGTGACAGGTGCTGGAATCCTTGGGGAGGACAAGCCAACTGTGTGTGTCTGGTAGCTGTGGTCCAGCTTTAAAATGAATGTGAATTTTTAGCAGAACTAGAGGTCAGCCACTTCATCTAGCTAGCCCCTGCCATCCATGCTGCTCTCAGTCTAGTCTTTGGACAAAGATGGGAGCCCTAACAGAAGCTTTTCCAGATACTCAGCTGGACACTGGACTTTCAAACTTTTTGTTACCGTTTTGAGACAGTGTTGACAAGGTTACTGTACGACCCAGACAGTGATCTAGAACTCAACTATGCAACCCAAGTTGGTTCCTGATTCTCCTGCCACCGTTTAGAGAGAGCAGGGACTACCCCCACCTCTCTCCCTTTTAAAAATAAGTCTACCGAAATATGCTACATTACTAATGGTATTTATTCTTTTAAAAACAAACATATGAACCCGGTTTTGGGGACACACACCTTTAATCCCAGCACTCTGGAGGCAGAGGCAGGAGGATCTCCTGGCCTACAGAGCTAGTTTCAGGATAGGCTCCAAAGCAATATAGAGAAACCTGTCTTGAAAAACCAAACCAAACAAACAAAAAACCCCAAACATATGTTGCTTTCAGGCTCTAGATGCAGTGTGCTGCTGGATAAATATCCTAGTGTCAAACTTCAGAAAGACAACCCTAAGGGTGATACTGAGATAAATGTGGTGAATAAACTCCCATTGGAAAGTGGAGGATGGAGATGGGCAAAGGGGCTCTCAGTAGAGGGACTAGCATATGCACAGGTATGGAAATGCTTGACCTGTTCCAGGAACCTTAAAGAAAGTGTGCCTGTTGGCCTAGAAAACAAAGTACATGTTGGGAAGTGCTTGGAAAAAAAATAGTTAGATTAATGTGCCATAAAAGTCATTAAACTTTATCCTTCAGACAATATGAAGATACCACATCCATTTGTTTTTAGCCACCATCAGGAAATGTGATGAAAGATTGGGGGTGGAGGGAGTTATCAAATATTTTCAGCAGCATATACTCCAAGTACCAGGTAATAAGATTAATGATAACGTGAGACAAACAACAACAAACAAACAGAACAGTTACTGTGATAAGGAGGTGCTATTATCCTGAAGGAAGGGTCAACCTCCATATTACCATGTCAACTTTAAACCTGTAATTCAACATAGTCTGAAATGTGAAAAATACAGTGTTTCCTTGATGGAGGATATGATTCTGAAGTTCACTTGGAGTCAGTGGACTCCCTGGCAAGCATTTGAGAAAAGCAAAGAATGTAAGGAAAGCTTTGCTTGACATAGCTATTGTCTTATACAGACACATACACACATTTGTATATACTAAAATAAATTATGGTACTGGCACAGGAAGATGAGATCAACATCAGGATATTCCTACCCATACACGTATGGGAACTTGATATAAGTTAAAGCAATGCCTTTCAAATTAGGGAAGAAGGGTTTTAACCAGTAATGTCGACATAATTGTCATGTGGAAAAAATGAATCATTCTGTATTTAAAAATACCTTCCAGATGAATTAAAAATACAACCCTTGAAGTTGAAATCTATAAAGTTTTACGAAAACTGTTGAGAAGATTATCCAAATTTGGAGTAGGGAATGTTCTTTTGAATCTGTCAAAAGTTAGCAGGTTTGACTGCTTAAAAGGGTTTAAAAAAATAGATAGAAAAATGAAAAGGGTAGATAAAGGTATTTTAAAGGAGGTTAACATAGAAATGGTGTGTTAGGCTGGGGATATTTGTTATCCTTAGCAAAGGCGAAGATCTGCTGGGTGGTGGTGGCTCATGCCTTTAATCCTAGTACTCGGGAGGAAGAGGCAGGTGGAGCTCTGTGAGTTCAAAGCCAGCCTGGTCTACAAAGTGAGTTCCAGGACAGCTAGAGCTGTTACACTGTCTCGAGAAACCAAAAAGAAAGGATGAAGATAAAGATATATGTGTGTATGCATGTAGAATATGCTTTTTTTCAGTCTTGGGGATAGAAATAGGGCCTGGGCAAACTAATCAGGCATTCTAATACTGAAGTACTCCTGCTGTAGTCCAGTTCTTTCTTCCTTCCTTCCTTCCTTCCTTCCTTCCTTCCTTTCTTTCTTTCCTTTCCCTTTCTTTCCTTTCCCTTTCTTCCCTTTCCCTTTCTTTCTTTCTTTCTTTCTTTCTTTCTTTCTTTCTTTCTTTCTTTCTTTCTTTCTTTCTTTCTTTCCTATTGCCTAGACTAATCTTGAAGCCTAGCCTCAAGAGAGCCTCTTTAATTCAGCCTCTCTAGTGTCCAGACTCCGTGTATCACCACCAGGTTATGTGATGCCTGTATTAGTCACTCTTTTTTATACAGACTATTTGGTTGACTTTCCTGCTCCTGTAGATTGAAAGCTCCAGGTAGGAAGGCATTTTTAGCAGGCACAGTCCTTTGCCAAGGTGCTTGTGATTTGTTGAGTGCTATTTGTTGCTTGAACAAATGAATGCATTTTGTGTGGAGTTTGGATTCCAGTCAAGCAAGAGGGTTGGGCACCCGTTGGGAGACAGCTGCTATGGTTTTTTAATGAGCATAGGAGACGAGAGCAGAAGAGAGATTATGGAGAAGACAGGATGGGTTGGATAGTGTGTAGGTTGGGAGATGGGGAGATGTAGGTTTCAAGCCTGGGCAGCTGAATTGCTGGCACCAGAGAGATGCAGATGAAGCCCACGTTTGGGGGAAGGCTGTTGGGGAAAGGTCAGCTTGGTTTGGGGCTGGCTATGCTGGCTCTCCAAGACTCCCAGGTGAACAGAAATCGGGTAATTAGACTCACTGAAAGGAAGTTTGGGCTGCCACACTAATTTTTGAGAATGAGTATTGGCTCCAGCTTGTTAAATTGCATCCCTAGTTACAGTAAACAGCACAGCAGACCAGTTACTGTGGAGGGTCACTAAGGGGCGAGGGTTTGAAGGGAAACGGGAAGAATGTGAGCACCCTTGCTTATGTCGAGTCCCACCTTTTGGGAGCAGTGAATGCCAGCACTGCCATCTCCAAGTCTCCAGATTCTGAAGACGTGGCTGGGTCTGTGGACCTTTGTTGACTAGGCTTCTGCCTCCCCAACCCCCATGTTGCCTCTACTCCTCGTGACTTTGAGAAGGGAGTTGGCTAGCTGCCCAGAACAAGCTGAACAGGGGCCTCCCAGAGCCAGGAGGCACAGAGCAAAAGCAGGCCAGGAGAGGCAGGCCCCTCTGTTCTGTAGAATATTAGCTCGGTCCAGAGGAGGGGGTGGGGGTGGAGAAGCCTTGTGGTGGAGGGCTGTTGTTCGACAGTGACTCAGCACTCTGTCCCTCCAGAGGGCTTGGGCTCCAAAAGTGCTTTGTCATGGAGGGGCAGGGCTGTCTGGAAGGCTGTGGTTCTGCTGTGGGGGAGGGGGAGGAGAGGGAAGGAACACGTGAGAGCTCCCATTACCCCATGGGATACAGAAGCTGGACTGAGAATAAAGAAGTCTTCATCACCCTGCCAGGCTTCGGTGATATTTCTGCCAGAAAGGCAAAATGGCTTTCTGTCTCTAGTGGGGACTTCTCAGCAGATAGTGGGTGGGACTCTTTCCCTTCTACTGGTTGTCCCTCTGTGGTTACAGCTGCTGAGGACTTCGCATCCAAGAAGTCTTAGACATTTGGCACATTAGGGTCCAAGGGCCACTAGAGTTTACAAATCACTTTACTTCACAGGACAGAAGGTTAGACCCAAAGAAGGCGCGGCTTCCTCAGGAAAACAGTCAGCGAATAAAAAGTGGAGCAGAGTGTTTTAAGGAACACCAGGGCAGTCATTAAACATCATGTGATGCTAAACGTGTGATGAGTATGTTGCCAGAATGTGCATATGGAATAATGTTAAGTGAGAAAGCACAATCCAAAATAGTTTCCCGCAAGCCAGTTACTGAGAAGGAACTCATGGGGCTGGAGACGGCGAAAGGCTGGGTGAAAATGAGCTAAACAGCCCATGTTGCAAAAGTATGGGATTCCCTGAAAGTTGTACAGGAAATACCGAGACTTGCAAAAGCACCACTCAGCCAGATTCTGGTACATTCTAGATGAAGCAACCGTGATTCATTTGGAGAACTTGTCCTTAAATCATTTCTTGAAAATTCAGGAGGCCATGTAGACTTAAAAGTCTAGATACTCAGAATCCCTCTCTTCTAGGATGTTAAAGGTTGAG